TTTTGCTTCATTTAGATAATTATGCTCAGTGTTTGATGTAAATTGAAGCGATGACTGAATAAACGAACCGTGGCTGGCGAAGATGTATCAGGAAGTGTACACATTTGTTGGAAGTGAACAAAATATTCAATGTAATGACAAAAATTGTAAAATGCTGTGGAATTTCTTTTGTAAATAAAAGTATACTAGCAATGTTCTATTAATGGTTTATTCAAGTGGGCAAAATATAATGTACAGAAAGATTGCCCGTAGAGTATCGCTACACTGAAAAGTAAGCAACCGACAGCCTGTATAAAAGGGAGCCTGTGATTGGCTGTTACTTATGCGAGATTTGAACGGGACTTACGTAGGCGTCGGATCAGATGTATGTAGGGCGGAATTAAAAAAAATCAAAATCAAAGTAAAATAATAAAATAAAAAGGCATTAATAACAAAAGTAATAAAAAATAAAATCAAAATAAGTTTATAGCCAAAATAATTAAAGCCCGTACACTACATCAGATTTTAATCAGATTGCCAGGCTTCTGTGACCTGCTGGTTTCTACACATCACATCAACAGCAACGATTACGTCATCAGCGTAAACGACATGCAGCATTACACCGCTTCTTTGCATTAATTCCATTCGACTGCATAAGCCCACTTAGTATGGTGATGTGTAGTTCTACCCCTCAAGTGTGTGTGAATGGGTTTGACGCATTACTCTGTAAGATCAGAGAGACTGATAGCATTGGTCATCGAACCCCTAAAGATTCGTTTTTTTTTTAACTCTGTGTGATAGAAGTAATGAACCGAGTGGTTTTGCAGTCACGTGGTCCAAAATTGTAGCATGGACGGATATTAGAAAGCTCGTATCAGACTAACTTATTAATTCACTACAACGTGCCGACATCTATCACATTTGTAATGAACCAAATTAGTCCGCCTGTCATCGCGTACGAAAGATAATTCACCCAGCACGAAAAGAATATTTTCAGTTCAATGGCCGCCGCCGTGTCGTCTAAAGGTCGTACAGAAACATTCTATGTCGACTCATCCTCATCATATTACCACAAACTTGTGTCCTTCCACCATACGAAAAATAGTTATGCTCAGACGACCGGAGCCGCGTTCTGTGCTACTGGGGCTTTTCCGATTTAGACAAGTTTACGCTGTATGAACAAAAAATAGGATGTTGAACCGCGAATGTTATGTTTGACCTGTTTTCGTCTCGTTCAAGCAAGGAATGACACAAGTACCCAGCGTACAAGCGTATAATTACGGCACAGATGTATTGTATTAAACCCGGGGAGAATTCAAGCTGCACATAGACGTGACTCATTTATTCATAGGGTTCGCAACACAAGATGACTGTAATGCATCTATGATTACTAATTGTCACGTGATTTACATCCAATGACGTGAATAATTACTCATTTTGAGTAATGGTGAGAAACAAAGAGCGGCCTTCGCACAACGTTCATTAGATGCGGCATGTTTCAAATTATCTGTTAAAGTCGTACACGTGTTTTAGCGACTCCCACCACAGGGAATTTTACACATGAAATTCTAAATAACTGAGAACGCCGGACATTTAAAACACTATATAAATTGTATTCAATACTATAATTACATAGTGAAATCAGCTTTTTTATAGTTTTTTCGCATATGTTCCTATTTTTATAAATGAGCACAAATATTGTCAAGGTTTATCTCAGGGGTCTTAGAACACAACCGGCATGACAGATTTTCTGTCTACTCGCGCTCAAGGAATTCTACCTGACCCTTTGACCTGGTGTAAGTTTCGTGTGAAATGTTCTTCCACTTAAAGCGTGAACACGTATGCCAGCCTGGGGATTGATATTATTTGAAGGAGATCTGAAAACAAATTATCCGTCTGCAGCGATGAAAACAAGTCAAATAAACCATTTTGGGTAATTAGAGGATACGAGTAATGAAGTCTAGTAAATGGATATCTAATTTACGGGGCCTAATGCCGGGTGTGGAAATCTTTGCCCGGATCTTGTCGAAGTATGTACATCCTACTGTAGACTGAAAATACATCTATAGATCTTTAAGAAAACATCAACTCACCTCGTTTACGACGCCCACAACATTTTGATTGTGCTTTGCCCATCTTAAATGTATTCACCGGTGTTAAGGAATACTACTTGTCCAAACGATTTGTTCACAATGCTGCGAGAGAAGCTATCTAAGCACTGTTATCTGTCTTAACCAACAACACGGTGTGAGACTCCTGGATAGTCAATCATGAATTGTACTCACTCAGTTAAGGGGTCTTGCCAAATGATAATTGAGAGGCCAGGCATGCAAGAATTATCTCCTGAATCGTGTCCTTGGTGGAGTGTATTGAAATACAGTCGTAAACCGAAATTTGATCAAGTGCGAGTCTCGCGAGATGCATGAAAGACGCGCGTCGAACGTCTGCCGCAAAAATCGAACGATTTGATTTTGAACTCGAATTTCTTTATTTCGTAGCGCACATCGACCGGCCGATCTTCGACAGAGGAATATTGCATTCGAATATTCTCACTTAATCGAAATTGCCTATCATCAAATGTGTACAGCACATTATTAAGCATGGAAATGTCCCCGAAATACTTTCGCGTTTGTCGAATCCCACGCGATGTTTGACGCGACTACGACGCTATGACCTTTGTTTGTCCTGTTTTTACGTTCGATTTCACGCATAACGCGTGATTCTCGCAGTGAACGGAAAATGGTCTATTATCGACTTATAAAGTTAGAGAAAATGTCATTGGAAGCAAATATTGCATTTGAAACACTAAATTCGTTAGTTTAACGATAGAACATGTGTTGTGTTTGTTGTCCTGGTAACACCGTAGATGAGTTTCACTTCTTTCGATGTAACTTCTATTAGCCATCAGAGGAGACTGAGTAATGCCGATAAATACCTTCAAATTACTTCTATAATAATTTGTTTATGTAAACTGTGTTCACTACTATTGACTGGATTATCTGTGTGCACTAACGATTATTGTGAACCAATTTAAAATACAATATTGAGGCCCCATAGTTGTGTTCATACATTTTGTCTTCTAATGTCTTTGCCTGTGTTTGAATTCAAAGTTGAATACTATTTTGAATCTAGGGGGCCTATGAAGCCTAAAGCAATGCAGTGGTAACACAAATTATTTCAAGATTGTTTCACATTTTGAAGTAAAATATGGGATTAGACATGAACCATTAGTCGTACTCGTATTCAATAACGGCTACGACTGGATTAAGTGCGCCCTTACCGATGACCTACAACTACAAATTTAATTTACTCGTAGCCGTTTTGCGTATTTTCTTTTACCCACGGGCAGAGATGGTCTAAACGAGAGAATATTTAGCGGTTCTTGGGGAAACATTATTCAGATAGATTATTGTAAATTTTTCAATTCTGCATGGTGTAGCACTATGGGGAAACGATACAAATGCTGTTTCCATGGAAACAATAGTTGATAAAAAGAACTCCGCAATTTAATTTTACAAAACATGTACAGTATCCATTTTCACTTAGCACATTATCGGGAATGTTTAATGCAGTTTAATGCTTATATGTTTAGGGTGTGGTGTTCATCCCACCCCTCATCAATTTAATAGACAACTCAGTGTAATTCTATCGCAGACGCATGTTGTATTTCTGTTCATTAATATAACCTTAGTCACATGGTTAGTGATGTTTCACTAACACAGCACTAATGTGATATATTCGATTCTATCCTAGCATGGTGTATCTATAAACCGCTGGTTTAGCTCCATGTGTGAATATCAATCAGAAATTGGTATGCTACTTAACTGGGTCTGATAATTAGTGTAGTAACATTACTGTAAAGCGTGTTTAAATAGCTACATGCCATTTTAGCGAATTTGACTCCATGCATGAATTAATTGAATCTTAATTTAGCTAAAGTGTCAACAATCTCATTTTGAGAATATACTTTATTTTAAATTAGTGACATCTTGAATTAGCGAAATTACAGATTGGCTAAATTGGCTAAAATAATTAACATGCTAGCTAAAAGACATGTTTTACAGTATGCTACAATATATTTATATCACTACTGAAAACACAAGTGTACCCATATTAAGAAACCTTTCAAGAATTATATATTTTTCATACCATAATTAAACGTGTTGCTATAAAACGACATTATATTATTCATGTGTACAACGATACAAACCCTATTGGACTTGTATCTTCATTGTATTATTTTATTTATATTCAAGATTATTTGTAGTTATAGGCCGTACCTTAATATATTATGAGGTTATTACGAGGATACCTCAAAGTATGTACGAAGACAGTACAGCTGGAGTATCGACCGACGCGCATGTGCAATTTTAAACTCCGAGTCTGTATTTAGTAAATAAATATAAATACGTCGTACTTACCATGTACGAGTTATTAGTAAATACATTTAGTATCTGTCACCGTAACGCCATAAGTTACAGCTTACCGTAATTTTCCGGTATTGCACTGGGTATTTTCATCCTACCATATTAGGAAATGCGAATTCCAAATATGGAACGGTTGCGCGCGTAGGCGTTCTCTGATAATAAAAACAAACATGGCAGCCCCCAGAGTTTGACCGGCCTCATACATAGAGTTCGCTTAATCTGTTCTCAACTATTTGTGTTTCCGCATTGGTATGTATTCGGGGAGGAAATGATGTATAATACACATGTAATAAGGTTATTACGAGGATACCGAAGAGTATGCACCCAGACAGTACGCTACGCGTCGGTCGATGCTCTCACTGTACTGTCTCATAAACTTCAGTGGCGGTGGCACTAGGGGCAGTCGCCCCCCCGCCACCCCCCCCCAATGCGCGATCGCTTATATGGCGCAAGGGATTGTGATCATACCCCCCCATGCAACATTTCGTGCCGCAGCCTCTGACCTCATAATATTTAAATCCATAGAACGGCAGCAACTCAATCGACATGATATAAAACATTCAAGACTATATTTCTTTATTTTACAATTTGATCATATCGCGGTTTAAACATTACTATTCTATGTTCACTCATTTAGTGGGGTAGATAACAACAATTTTGCACAGAATAATTATCTGTAAAGGTTCCAGTGGGATGAATATGTTTTATAATAAATAAGCGGGGACGATAGTTTCTAGGAGACTTAATTGCGAAATTGAGATATACACGCGAAATTGTTCACACCACTATTTCGCAATAAAATAGCCATATCTGAATATGGGACTCATGGCGACGTATACAACGCGTGTAAAATACATTGTTTATTTACATGAAATTCGAACGACCACCGCGCTTGAAGCGACTCATACGGAATTGTACTACGAGAAATACGAAACTGAACAAGAAGACGTCATTTCTTAGATGTTATGTTGTTTGTAATCCCTTACGCTAATTCGTCGTTAATTGCTGCCATTGACCTTGAAATGGACATAATTTACATCCTTTTTATTGTAAATGTTACCCAAGTCGGAAAAAAGATACCAGTACGCAAATGTCTTGCATCTTTAAAAGAAGATCACATAAATGGTTACCTTTGTGCATAATAATAACACCGGTAATGAAATGAGAAATACATATGTAGTTGATATTTTTGGATCATTGCTTGTAGACCTATGTCAAAATGGGAAATACGATGTCTATAATGGCTTTGGTGCATATACAGCTTTTTGACACAGAAAATTGAAATTTTAAAGGATAATCAAAAATGTCATATATTATTTCTACTCGTGTTCACTCATCCACGTCGAGTTGTATACAAGGTTAACCACGTGATATATATATAGACCAAACAAATTAAGGTAGAGATGCAGTTTATTTGGCTTGCTTTTTAATTGAGTAATTAGACAATGAAGATGGTATTATATATCCAACATGTTATATATTTTCTGAAAGCTTATTATACAAACTTTGTAAAACTTGTCTATATTTTAAATATCCAGAATGCGTTTTTGATTTTGGGTCAAAAATATGCTTTTTTGGGCAAAAGTGGTTTGAAAAAAATTAGCTTAAAAACTTCAAGTCCGTTTGTGGGTAAAATTACATCACTGGATACCTTGGTATACTACTAATTCAAATGCGTCCACTCATCTCTCTAACGGCTTTCAAATAAAATTGACATGTTGATGTTAGTTCCGTTTGCATACAACTCCTTGGCACGGCCTAAGACATCCAAAAATGTTAGTCCGTGCTAAGAAAACGTTCGCGAACGCTTAGTACGGGCTAAGAAACGATACGTTACATCTGATCCTTTTTTAAGATCCAGTACAGATCCTAAGCGCCCAAAACGCCATTGTATTCAATGTCCATTTGGAAGATATTGACAACTGTTATTTCAGTATGATATCTCCGACATGATAATCAACGCGAGCACATCTAGGGACTTTGTTTTCGAACAACAAAAAAAATAACTGACGTTATGACTCTGTTCAACTTTCTGTTATTCTACAATCTGCATTTCTGAATTTGCTTGGTTTTATACGTAGAAGTAGTATGTATACTTACATGGTTACTGTACTGAGTAATCATAGTTAAAATTACTGAATATTTTGGGCGACTAGAAATATCAATATACCGAAGACTATATAGAGTTTTTAAAACATTAGATCACATTCATTGTCTTTTATATTCACATATTTTCCATCCAAACAATAAATTTCTATTGTAATTATGCACGTTGATGCATGTTATAATTTAAATGCGTTTGTCATGCGATTTCTCAGCGGAAAAAGTGAATTGAAACCTGGGAAATAATTAAAGAATTTACAATAGTGAGGAACGTTCCAGATATGTTTGCATGAAGTCAAAAAGCTTGTACAAAATTCATAGAAGCAAACAATACTGTAATAATATAAAATTCCTATTTTTTCTGGACATGTTTCATTTAAAATAAATAATATACAGTGCTGAAATGACAAGAATAGCAACCAAAATTTATTGAAATGCATTTTCCTCTTTTTTCATAACTAAATGCATAAATATTTCAAATACTCATGCTCGTTATCGACATGTTCCGATTAAATCTAGAATATTTAAATCAATTAATTATGTTATGATTATTCTCTCAGTGTCGCCTGATAGATACATTGTTCACTTGTTGCCATGGTGACTATTTTCCCAAATTTACAGATCTTACCTACTCAAAATTTAAGGTGACTAGATATGAGAACGAAGTCAACATGTTTTAAGAAAACGATTGCATTTTAATGTGAAGAAATGATTCATTTGATGTATGGGTTTTGATAATTGAAAGAAACGCCGTGACTGTCATGTAATGAGATACATGTTAATACGCTTCAGGCACAAATAGTCACCGAGATCTCGTGAAAAACGAGATAGCCACGTGTACAGTACATAACCGACATAGAAAATTCAGTAACGATTACTGTAAAATACCTTATTATCGCTGGATATTAATTTACATTATTTTTCTGAAGAAAGGATTCAGTGAAAATAAAATTCAGAAAATATGCCTTTTTCCTATATTCTGCATTCAAATCATCAACAAATCAGTGAAAATAAACTCCACATAAAACACTCAAAATATCTGTTTAGCGAAAAATAATTCCATCTAAAGTATTTTATAGTAATTAGGTAGTAACAATGACCGTTTGAAAACTGACATAGTAGGTGTACTTGCTAGTTGATTTTGATGTGGGACAAAATGAACATCAACTGATGTCTGGGAGGCTAAATTACCAAATAATCTAGAAAAATCTTTGACAACATGGACAGTAAAAAGACAATAAATAAAAGGATCATCATTCTAGAAAGGACAATTAAAAACGTGTCGAGGTAAGTCAAGTCAAACAATCGAATCGAGTAGATACTTGGTAGTAAGTCACGTGATACCAGGAAGTAAGTCGCGTAGATACTGGGAAGTAGGTAAGTCACGTGATGTTAGGAGTGATTTATTAAGACAGTTGTCTATATCGGTCACATCAAATTGCAATAAAATATTCAATAACTCTAGAACTATGAATTATATAGAAAGATTGTTTCGCGTTTTATTAATTCATTCTTTCAATGAAAAATATGCGTACAAACATTATAGTAATACATTCACTTGAAAGTAAGTGGGTGATCAAAAGATTGAATCTGTTCGCTTTTATTATATAGATTCTCGCATACCGAGATGAAAATAAAATATGTCATGATACATCTAAATTTGGTTTGGACCTAGCACTATAATATGTATAAATTCTACAAATTCAGTTAAACATTAAGGTAGAAGTCTACTCATTTTTTAGAAAGTTGGTCATAAATCGCAATGACAATTGATTTATTATGTAAGATCATGAAAGTAATGTATCATGGCACCATAAAATAACATTCTTTTGTGTGTTACAGTGACGTATTTTGAGAAACTTGTTCCAATATTTTTTCTCTCACAAATTTGTATTTTTAGAACAATTCCATAGAACACAACACAGTTGTTGTCACTGTTTAAAACCCAGATTTTTTAAATAATTGAGAACAACAAAAGTACCCCATCATTCATAATTGGTTATGATTTTTTCAGATATAGCAAATCTTTGCCATAGGAACCCATGATAAAAGCACTATAATACTGCCAAAATGGCCGCTATCCATTAAAACACTGCCATCATTTTCTCGAAATTAGGCTGGTGACCCCTGGCCTTATACGGCCAGGAAGGCCGTTTTTTCTGTGCAGATTGTGTTTTTCTCTCGCTGATTTAATAATGATTTTATAATGTAATGGTCAACCCCTAATGGCGATCATTTCGTAGCGCCCTCCCAGGCTCTCAAACAAAATTGGCGTTTATAAATAAAAAAAACAATAGATTTCAATTAATAGTGTGCAGGTGGCGCTACAACAATTTGTAAAAGTTAAAAACCTTTGTAAATGTGATGTTTTTGAACGTATTCCCCGTTTCTTGGTAATAAATAACAACAGCGTTCGTGTTATTCTCGTTATTGCGACATGGTGTCACGTGTTGTGCTTGTTATAACCGTGTTTTGGTACCATAACGTGGTCAAAACATCTCACGAACAAACAAACTTAGCAAGATGGCGACTGTTGAAACAGACACCAAAGCGATTGATGAGACCAAAACAGAAGACGCGTCTCCAAAAAGTACTGTTCAGACAACCGTTCCACACGATGCAAAGGCGAGTAGACAGTCTTCAAAAGAAGACTGGCCCGTGCCCGTCCTTGTCCGTAAAAATGATCAACCCAAGATTGCTAAGCGCAGTAAGTGTGTCGAGTTGTTATTTTACATTTTCTTTATAGTGGTATAAATGGTGGCGATACGTCATGATGGGGGCGTATTTCCATCCGATCCCATGTTTCACTTCCTCACTACTAGTGTTGCACCGCCGTATCTTTTCTCGCCATCGCCATAGTCCTTGATAAAAAGGGCTATGCAAATATTACCTAGAAATTCATTGCTGGTAATAGTGTGGAAATGCATAATCACAGGCGATGTTTTGTATTCAATCACGTGGCTTTCCAGGGAATGGTCATAATAGCGTAACGTATTATTGCGGAGATACTCAGAGGCGTTCTACTTACAGTGTAACAATACACCAGTGCAGTGTCCATGGGAGATACTGCCATTGGATATTTTCTATATATCCCTCTCGCCCAACCACTGGTCTGAATTCATGTTCTTATCAAAAATTCACACAAGTTTAGGGGAAAATCGGTTGTTTTTGGCCTCAACGTTTTTTTTTTTTTTTTTCCTTAGTACCAGGAATGATAAAAATTTATGCAAGTTGTTTGATTCAGTAGTTTCTGTTGTTTTTTTTCTTTTGAGTTTGTTGTATCTCTAGAAACGTTGGTTGTTTGTGAATATGTTCTGTTCAAATATTAAAAAAGACATTATTCTCAGTCCTAAACTCTCCAAAATTTGATATTTGTACACCCCAAAAGTTGACCTTTTGAGCATATATTTTGTCACTTGAACGTTTTAATGATACGAATAGATGCAAAAACGATAGTTACATCACTCATGATGATAGGTAATCAGATAACTATAGTCAGTGTGCATTTTGATGTGTTTGCTGTTCTCAAAATCTGTGTATGGAATCAATGTGGTAGTCTGGATGGCCAACAGAAAGCTGTGATCTGTGGTTTTTAATGTGGTAGAAATTAGTGCAGATTTGTAAACAAAATTGACATTACAATCTTCTGTCTTGTCCAAATAATCAGGCAAAATGATGACAAATACTCAATACAATATATGTAAATATTGTGATATTGATATTACCATAAGGGGTTTCTCCATTTGAAAAAAGAAATATTTGTAAAATATTTTTTCGTGAATATCACTAATTGTGAAATCAAAGTGTCTAATTTGTCTAACAAAGTATTTTCAAGCCAAACCTTACCCTCCACCATCCACGGTATGTTTATTTGAGCCGTACCATACTCTCGACACATAGCTTGGCAGATAGTGCTACATAGTATAGTATAGTATAGTATATTTTATTTGACTCAAATTAATGAATTGGAAATACATTAACCATGGTCAATAATCATACACAAAAAACACAATAAAACGAAATACAAATATAAGAAAAAAAAATGTTAAAACAGATATGTGCGTGATTAAACAGCACTTTGTGTAGGCAGATGTGTATATTCACTGAATTATGTTATCCAATCAGATCACAGATGTGTATATTCACTGAATTATGTTATCCAATCAGATCACAGATGTGTATATTCACTGAATTATGTTATCCAATCAGATCACAGATCACAGACCACCTGACATTATATGTAGGCGGAAAAAATAATGGCACCATCCACAAATCTTCTCTCAGTGGAAAAAGCAATGTGCAGTTGAAGCAGTATTGTGAGGAAAAGACACCTACAAAAATAGGAAGTGGTAAATCCCTGTGATACCAGGTTTTTTTCCCTAGCCAAATGTTACAACAAGATATTTGTAATAACACCATTGCTTTCAATCATGCTTGAACAGGTCTAATTTTTACAGCAAATGTCTATTTCAGTGACCTACAAAGAAAAAGTCCAAGGTTCAAAATTAACGGAACATGACAGCAGGCTTGTAGGACTTGCATGCTGTATGTCAGAATAAAGCTAAAGCTAAAGCTAGTTTTTTGTTTTCTAAATTCTTTTTCTACAATTACAATTCTGAGTTAAATAAATGTGTGGTGATAACTTTTGAAGTTTGGCAACCACACTATGCCTAACTTATTGTTTTACGTCCTCAATTACAACACTTAAACAAATCTAGTGAGAGGCTCATTGCCATGGAAATGTAAATCTTGGAATGGTTCTTCAATTATTACTCATATTTATGATGAATTATGACATTTTACGAAGGGGTTGCCTTTAAAAACATTTACCAACTGAGGGTAGGGGTGATGGAGATCTGGATTTTATTGCCATGGTAACTAGAATTTCTTCAATGACTATTTATTGCCAGCTATAACACAAAAAGTTAAGGGAGAATTTTTAGAAAGAGTTGTCTTTCAAAAATAATCCAAGCGATTAAATTTGGTTCTAGTTGGCATGGAGACAGCAAGTTTTTGATGTTGCCAAATAAGGTCTTTGTTTGATTGGATGAGTGAATAATATTTTCAAGATTTAATTTGGTTTTACTTTTCAAAAAAAGTCTAGAAGCTTAAATTATGTTCTGGTGAACTGATTATTATGCATAAATAATAACACAACCTAGATATATTTTTATGCTTGCCATCAAGTCTAGAGAGAACACTGGACATGTTAGTACAATAGATTATACAGGTACTAGTTTGCATCTGGTGGAAGTTAACACTCATGGAGGTCTTTTTAGTTGCAACTATGCCTGATACATACACAAAGTACAAGTCATCTGAAGATGACACAGTCTCCACTTGTCAGATGTGATTATAGTTGGTTTTGAATTATAAAGTTTGAATGTATATGTATAAAATCGAGTAGCAAGATTAAGTTGAAAATCAACATTACAAGGCATATACCCTATATCGACATATCAAGTAAGTCTGTAACAAGTTTGGTCTTATTTGGACTATTAGTTCACAAAATATTAACAAAAATTAAAAATTAATCACATATGCAAATGAGCCCATTAATTAAGTTGAAACTCAATATAGCATAGCACATATATTCACAGATCAAGTAAGTCTATAACAAGTTTGGTCTCATTCAGACAATTAGTTCACAAGATATCAAGAAAAATTCAAAATTAATTAAATGTGCAAATGAGCTTGTTAATGAAGTTGAAACTCAATTTTACAGGATTTCGACATATTTGATCAAATCAGGAAATAAATCCATGTGAGTATGTATACCTCCACACTGTGTCTTTGTACCGAGTATCATTGAAATCAGTCAAGGCATCTCTGAGAAATATCAATGAACAGACAAAAGCCATGATTAATAATCAAAATGGCTGCCAGTCGGCCATATTTGATCATTCCAAAAAAGTTGTCTTTGTAACAAGTCTCAACAAAATCGGTCAAGCCATCTCTGAGAAATGGCGATGGACACACAAGGACCGTTTTTGACTGAATTTTGGCATTAAAAATGGCCGCCAGTCGACCATATTTGATCGAATCGGAAAATAAATTGACGTGCACATGTATGGTTGACCCTGATGTCTTTGTACCAAGTTTCAAAAAAATCGGTCCAACCATCTTCGAAAAATCACTCCGGACGGATGGACAAACTGACGAAGGCGAAACTACAAGCCCCCTTCCCCGAATAAACTACTGATACATACCCGGTAAGTTTGTTCTGTGAAGACAGCGCCCTCATTGTTCACCAACATGTAAAATGGTAATAACATTCTCCAAGTCGCTGAGTCTGAAAAGGTCTCATACCACTAATCAACCAATTTAAATGCCTTGCAAGAACCATTGAAATTTTTTAAATATTTTTTTTCTCAGGTGCCCATGTTTGAGGGCGTGATCACCTGGGTCAAAGGTGAGACCAACATGTGGTCTTTTGTTTACTACTTAGCGACTGTGTACCTGTGAGTTTGTTCTGTGTGTATTTAGATGTTCTAATCGTGGTGTTTTTCCAGTGATTTCTCTGGGTGCAATCCAAATACAGTAGGTGTGTCTTGTTTACCTGAGATTTGCAAGAGTTTGAGCTAGCCAACATGTTAGTTTTTCATGTGATTGATTACTGGCATGTTGATTTCCCATTTTTGAGGCATTTTTTCAACTTTGTTCATCGTTTTCATATAGCAATCTCATCGTATGTTAACATTGTCGTCTATGGAGTTTCAATTAGTAGTATGAGACCAAAACATTAAATGCCCCTCCCCATATAAGATGTTATAGCGCCCTCATAGTACCAAGTGGATTTAGTTTTATTCAAATGTCTTCACTGTAATATATGTACATACATACATGTAAGTGATTTTTTCATCTCCAAGAGGTACATTAACAGCACATCTCCAATAGAGATACATGTACCATATTTGCTCTATTAAAAGTGCATTAACTGTGTTTTAGATTATACCTCATCAAACTCTTACCAACCCATTTACGTAAGTCAATGCGCTTCAATAAAGTGAATAAAGTCTCACATTAGCTCTATAATATAGCGGTATTCCCAGGACAATTTTGGACTGTTTATGTAGAAATTATTTTATCTTTCTAATTCACATACACTTAAACAAGATGCCTCATGGGAGTAAGCAAGGTGCATCATGGGAGTAAGTAAGATATATAGTAGTAGTGCAACCATGTATGTAGAACTTGATTACTTGATTACTTGAGATCTACTGGTATAGATGCATTTTTAAAATTTATCTTTCAAATATAGTGGAGATGAAATTTTTGAGACTAAAATAAATGTAATCTATAAAGATGGTTGCACAAACAATTTCCCTTCAGTATTTAATTTAAAATATTTTTTCATGCAGTTTTGTTTGGACTGTATTGCTTTACTTATGTTTATACCACTCTTGGTCATGTGATCTATTGTTCTTACCGCGAGTTTATGCGAGTTCACACTTGGTCTCCTATCTCACAGTTTGTTTTGCATAGAGATCAGAGTTCTTTCTCAATTATTGAAAAAGTTGACCAAGCTGGGTTTGAACTGTGACTTCCGTATTGGTAATCAGTACCTATAATCCTTACTCTATGATGGATTTGGTTGGAATGGTGATACAGATATAAACCATGGAAGAATACATTCGTTATTGTGTGCATTAATTGCACATCAACATTTGACATTCACAAGACACTGACCATAAGTGTGTCTGTTAC